ATCCTCATTGCTGTAAATAAGTTCCAGAGGGTTGCTGTTTAGCATGTCTTCAATTTCCTTTCCAGCTATGTTTGTATCCTTGTAGCCCCATCTGGTGGAGTGGGCGTTGAAGTCGCTTAATACTATCGTTTTGTGTGAGATGTCCAGAAAGTCAAAGTTTGGACAATTCTGGGGTGGATTATAGACTGCATATATCTTGAAGTGGTTTTGACATTTCCAAACATTTAATCTGATTATTTCACATTGGTCTTGTGTCGAGCCCATACTCTTGATTAGGTCGTAGTGTGAGGTGAGGCCTTCTTTTACTCCAGTTAGAATTCCACTTACAACTTGCCAGTATTTAGGTAGATTGTCTAGGGTGTAACCTGGGAATTGGTAGTATTTCAGTTTGTGATCCGAAATTTTAGCTTCCATATTTGTGAAAATGTCTACTTCATAGGTTCGTAGGATTTTCTGTACTTGGATCTTTTTGTCCGGAGACATTCCTCCAGCATTCCACTGGAAGATCTGAAGACGTTGTGATTCGCAATGACGAGTGCGATTTTTCTTATAGCCTTTTTTAAAGCTAATCATAATTAATCGAAGTCAAAAATGAATGCCGAGTGATAGACTTTTTGCCGTAAGAATATATGTTGTCCAGGGTGCACCACGTGGAGGTAAGTCTATCGCGCACCCCGCATTCGGATATATTGAATAAACTACTTTGGATGATCTTGATACTGATCTGAAGTCGGAACTGTATTGCAAAGGTAATCCAGCAAAAATAACTCTGGAGATCCAAGAGTTAGCAAGTATCATCCAGATCACATCGTACTATATAGGCTAACCGTGGGAGGCAATTACCAGAGTCCGATGGTTGCGCCAGACCATGAGATGGCTACGTCCGGGACTCGTGTGTCAGGACACGACAAGAATCCCACTTTTTCTGAATACTTTGCAGAACTTCATAAACATTTGAGTTGGAACAAACACATTGCCAATGTATATGGTGAAATGATGCTGAATAGATCTATATCAAATGGCAGGTGTTTTGATAGTTATCATTAGCCCTTTAGCTGACTTCAGGCCTCATAGAGGGGAGGAACACCAAAATGTAAAAAACTCGAGAGGGGGAAGAGAAGAGTGTTTCAAAGATGTAAGAGACAAACACAAAGGTAGAAAAAGGTGAGGTAAGTACTATGAGAATAGTCGAATATGGCATAGAGTGAGGTGATGGTATTTTGAAGTCAGAAGTCAACTGTCGGCTAATAGACTTTTTGCCGTATGAGTATACGTTGCCCAGGCTCCACCACGTAGAGGTAGGTCCATCGCGAGCCCCATGCTGAATAGATGGAATACGGAATATCAATTAAACGTCATATCCCAATATTGCATTCAACTTGACCCTGGAGATTTCAAACACAAAGTGTTCAAAAGGACAAAAGTCCCTAATTGATTTAAAATACTATTTTTGGTTG